TCTTGCATACCTGAATTCCTTGATAGTCTTAATACACAAATTTACACTTGAAACTATAAACCATAAATTATGTCTCTGTCCCCACCCTCAACTGGTAACTTTGAAAGTCGTGAAGCACTCATTAATCATGTTCAAACCCATGCCTTGAGCCATGGATATGCTGTGAGCATCAAACGATCTGAGTGAGAAAATTTTATCTATTTGCAGTGTGATAGAGGCGGTCATTACATTAATCGATTGAATCTTACTGATGAAACTCGCCAAAGAGCCACAAGCACAAGGCTAATAGATTGTCTTTTTGAGCTATATGGCAAGAAGATGAAAGATGATCAATAGCGTTTAACAATAAAAAACGAAAGGCATAATCATGAAGCATCACAAAAGATCTCAGGCCATCTATCAAGTCGCCGATTAAATGAAGAAGACCAGCAAAGAGTTAGAGAAATGTCTACGGCAGGTTCGCCCTCGTGAAATACTTTTTACTCTTTGCCAAGATGACCTAGGTAAATTGGCAATCTTAAAAACTATCTATAATGCTAGGGATAAAATTTGCCGTGATAATCTTCAGGGTCATACACCAATTCAGGCTCTTCTTGATAAGCTTGTAGAAGGAAACTTTGAACATGACTATCAATATGATCAAAATGACAATTTAACACATCTTTTTTTTGCACATTCTAAATCAATCGCACTTACCAAAACATATAACTCTGTTCTTTTAATGGATTGTACATATAAGACCAACAAGTTTAAGATGCCATTGCTTCACATTGTTGGTATGACAAGTTTTAACACCACATTCTCCTCCTGCTTTGCATTGTTAAAATTAGAACAAGAAGACGACTATGTGTGGGCCCTTAATCGTGTTGCTCACATTTTCGGAAACGTTCCAAAGCCTAAAGTTATTGTAACAGATCATGAATTAGCCTTAATGCATGCTGTACACACTGTGTTTCCTGAATCTCAAAATGTTTTATGTGTTTGGCACATTGAAAAAAATGTGCTAACTAGCTGTAAGCCCACTTTCAAATAAATGATGAATGGATTGAATTCATGGAATGCTGGTCTAACCTCATAAAGTCTCAAACTGAGGCTGATTTTGATAGTAACTGGGAAGGGCTAGTGAAAAAATACAATAACCAAACTTCAATCATTACATATTTGCAGGATACATAGTTACCATTTAAAGATCGCTTTGTGAGTCTTTGGATAGACCATTATTTGTACCTGGGCAATGTAGTAATATCACAGGTAGAAGGGGCCCATGCAGCATTAAAAAGGTATCTTCAAGTGTCAGTTGAGGATCTTCATATTGTTCATGAAAGAATTTCTTTAGCATTAGAAAATTAATATAAAGAAATTCAAACAATGATCTTCCAGGAAATGATTAAAATTCCTCACGCACAAAACATACCATTCTATGCGGAAGTTGTCACCAAGGTATCTACTTTCGCATTGAAAAAGGTTCATAAACAATTTTTAAAGGCATCTAATGCAACACTAGAAAATCCACTACAACTTTATAGTAGTACTTTTAAGTTGTCGATGGGCCTTCTTTGCACTCATGCAATTAAGGAACTTCTTAAAAGAAATCAATGTTTACAACTTACTGACTTCCATCAACATTGGAGAATCCAAGAACATCAATTAGATCAGCAAAGA